ATTTTATTCAGTCATTCGAATGTTAAAATAAGGAAAACGAACATTTAACTGTTTCAATGTTAAATTTTCCTTGACAAAAATAGATACAAGATATATTCATTGCTAATACGAGTTTCGTTGAGTGAAATAAATAAATCATAATTGTTTTACTTTCAAATGAACAAAAAGAACTAAACCAGACATTTCGCATTAAAATGATCAAACGGAATGATGATTTAACAAATGAAAGGGGTTGAAAGAATTGAATCAAATGTAGTATACTTATGGGGGTGGGGGGAAAAGAAATAATTTGATTAACCAACCTGGTGGTCCATGGTAAGACTTTGCTACCCTCGAAGCTGATGCTCCTCAATTCGTATTTCGATCTCAAACGAAGAGGTGAACCAGGTGCGGTACCACTGTGAAGAAGATTCCTAACGCTTTTGGTGCTAACACCTGATAATGCGTGTCTTCTCGTAGTAGCCCCCTCTCTGGTTGATTGATTCGTAGTTCTTCTCAAAGAACTCATCTTTTTTTTTTGTTATTTTTCACGACATTATTTCAATAATAACGTAAACGATCAAGTAACAACAACAACAACCCTTGGAGGGTGTGTGTATGTGAAAAAGAAAGATTTTATTTTATATTTTATATTTTAATTCAAATATATTCGTTTTATCATCTCAGGTACGGTCATATTTATTTCCAAAAGAAAAAAAAAAAACAAGATACCAATAAAAAAACATTTTTCTTTTCTCTATGGTGTAACAAATAATTTCATTAATTTCCACAAATTTTTAATTTCCTTCATCTTCATCCTCTTCTTCCTCTTCTTCTTCTTCTTCTTATTTTTCTTCTTCTTATTATTTTAATGGCGAGAAAAGAAAAAGTGTAAAGTCGAAAACACGTAGACAAATATATATATATATATATATATATATATATAAATCTTTCTCTATGGGAGATCACGTTTAAAAATCTAACAGTGTTAATAAACGTCAATAGAATATCGGCGTCCTTTCGTTATTCTTCTTACCGACATCCGATCGCAGGTGTACGAGCTTACACTGTGCGACCATAAATGACTGTGCCACCTTTCGACCCCACCACCACCACCACCACCATTCTCGGCTTCGTTCGCCACCATAACTGGCTCCGAGCATCCTTCCTTCCGATCCCCACTCTTCTTCTCATTTCCCACCACTCTCTTCATCCCTTCTGTACTCTCTCTCTCTTTCTCTCTTTCTCTCAGTTTGTACTTTTTTTATTTTAACTATGATTTTCACGAGTTAGCACGAGTCATCTTTCCTACACCCTCTCCTCCCCCTCCCTTCCCGTCACCCCCAACACGTGTTACTTCTTAGTTCTTCTTATTTTGTACACCTTCGTTGAAAATATTTGTCTCATTTTGATCATCGAATCTTTAAAACAAAAGCAAACCAAAATTTTTCGACAAAATTCTTATAATATGTTTCTATATTTATTTATCGGTCTATCCATCTATTTATCTATTTATCTACCCATCAATCTTTCCTCCCTCTCTTCTCTTCTCTCCTTTCCTCTCTTCTCTTCTCGATTATCGAGCCAAGGAAGCGCACGCACGCTTCACTCGCTTTCAATGCTCGATTAAACAGAAATCTTTTTACGGACAGAAACTCGAACGCGATAGGAATTTTCTCTCTCGGTCCTCCTCCTCCCCCTCCACCCCTCTTCCTTCTCTTCCTTTTCCTCTTCTTCTTCTTCCCTTAAAACCTCCCTTAAAGAGTGATTCGAAATGAGGCCCTAACGTTGCCAAACTGTACCGATTCTATTACTCTTACTCCTATTCCACCCACAACCCACCCCACTGTCCTTGAAATTATTTCCGATTCGTTCTAAATTTATTTCCAACTTGTTTTGGGAACGTTCTAATGTGAAAAAAGGGGAGGAAAAAAAAATGACAAAAGAAATTATTGACAAATTTTATTCGACCTACGTAGATTTTTATGTAACTGTCGCGATTTTTTCATCCCCTAAACCACCCTCCCATCCTGTAACCTTAACCCACTCTTTTCTTTTTTTTTTTCTTCAATATTCGAATGGGTATATAACAATTTAGGGTGTACTCAATTTTTTTTCGCGAAGTCGGATCATTTTTATTTTAATTATTGACAAAATATTGTAATAAAAATCAGAGAGAGAGAGAGAAAAAAAGAGAGAGAGAAGGGTAATCTTTTTCTTTTTTTTTTTTTAATATAAATTATGACGTTTTTAAATAATAATATTACATTTTTTTTTTGGGTGTAATTTCCGACACTTTCGGATTTCGTAATTTTACCGAGAAAAATTTCGCGGTTGTTTCTTCGAAAAAAAAGAAAAAAACTCGGAGGAACACGTGTATCCTTCTCCCTTTAATTTCTTTTTTCAATTCCACGCGTCGATCCTCACTCGTTTAAGGATAAACTTCGGGGGTTGCATTTCCGGCGAAGAATTTTGTTCGACAGATGGATCTAGGATAGGATAGGTTGTCGATTCAATGTTCCTAACGTTGAAGGATAAAAACAGTTAAATTAAAAGAATAAGAAAAACGAATCAATGTTATATAACCGAACGGATAGATGAATCGAAAATAAAAAAAAAACCTTATTATTTTTCATTAGGATATCAAACTATCGCGTGTGAAAGAATTAAAAAATAAAATAAAAAGATAAATGAAATTTAAAAAAAAATAAAAAACAACAGTACACACACATACACGTATACACACAGAGAGAGAGAGAGAGAGAGAGAATAAATCGATTGCATTGATCGTAATAATATAAAAAAAAAACCCTATAGAAAAATTTGAATATTAAACGAATACGTATTAATAAAATATATTTCAAATACACAAACACACACACATAGATAAACAGATAGATAGATAGACCGTATACACACAAATAATTGCGTAATAATTAATATATTACATTCTTTTAAATGTGTAAACTCTAATTTTGGAATTATTTCATTAACAATCTTATATTATATCTTCCCAAAGAAAAAAAAAAAACGCGAATACAATTACATTTCGACGCGATTATGGTTATATTCGTGAAAATCAAATGTTCCGTCAAAAGTGATGGTATTATTATGGGAAAGGGAAGGGATGTAAGACTCGTCCAATCACAAGGATGATCCACTTCGCGAATTAAATTTAATTATTAATATATATATATGTTTTCTGTCCCGATGATTATGTTAATAATAATAATAATAATAATGATGATGATGATGATGGTGTCACGGGGTCTAACTCCAGGATGTTCGTCGAAGACTGGCCGTGAATCGGCCAAGAATAATTTCTATTCTAGGGTAAAACTGTTGTTGGTGAAAAACGCATGCGTCGATCATGCTCTCTCTTCGTACTAACACGAGATGAGAATATTCGAACGAACGAATGAACGAACGAACGAATGAAAGAACGAAACTCTGACATGTTTTTCGAAAAACAAGGACATACATTTCATTCTGCCTTGTCCTATCTCTTTCCTTTGTACTCCATTCTTCTTCTTCTATCTTCAACTTCTCCCCACCAACACCATCACCCCTTCTATCCCACTTTTATCTCTCTCTCTCTCTCTCTCTCTCTCTGTTTCATTCTTTCTGAGTAGGAAGATCGATGTGAAGTCTAAGCGAACCAATTAGAACGAAGGAGTCTCAAGGAACGATGCTAAATTCATTTCTTTTCTTTTCTTTCCCCTTTTAACATTCTTCTCCTTCGGAAAAAGCTTGCTAAACCCCCCCCTCCGCCCCCGCTCCTTTCTTTCTTTCTTTCTTTCTTTCTTCCTCTTCTTTTACCTTTCTTAATTAAATTAAATCTTTACGCGCGGCGCACGCGCGTAAGCAAAACAAACGCGAATTTTTCTCGAAGTTTTTATTATTATTATTATTATCTTTCGTTTGTGGGTTAATTTTTATTTGTATTACTTACTTTTACTTTTGCCCGTGTTTTTCTTTCCTCGCGGGACTCTCGGCATGAAACGTGGAAAAAACACGGTTCTTTCGGTTTCTTATAATTCATGCTAAGAGATCGGGTTGTGAACAACGAGTTTATAATTAAAATAGAATGTGTCGATATGGTACGAGGAATGTTAGTGACTTATGAAATAGTGTGTGTGTAAAGGGTTAAAGTATTTTCTAAATTTAATGGTTTTTTTCATTTTAATATATTTATTATTATGAAATGTGGATATTGTTTATATATGTATTATAGTTATCCAGGTTTTTTGAACGTGGAACAGTGTATTTAAAAATTCAAGATCCGTGTATTATTATTTATACGCGTATACTTGTATTTAAAAGTATACGTATGGGGTGGTCAATGTGTGGTTGTGTAATAAAATAAACAAAAATTTACTGGAGGGATATATGGAAAGATATGAAAGTGTGTTTTTGTTTTCTGACAGCTGTTGGAACCGAAATACGAAATTTCAGGTTTGACTGTTCCAATGGCATATTACACGTAGATTTTGAATATACGCAAACACGTTTAATATAAATCTAGGTGAACACGTGTAATTGAATTATTTACACGGATATTCATGAAAACAAAAATTGTATTCGGATTTTTTGAGCATACGTGTATTCACATAAACGTGATATGCATACATTCTATCATACATTAATATTTCAATACACGTGCAATCGTGAAACAAAAATATTATACGTTTAGCATACAATGATTCTATTTAAAAACAAAAAAAACTACTGATTTATTATTTAATAACATTTTGTCGTGCATTGCACATTTGATTGATTTCTATTGAATCAAAATGAAATATTCTCTTTTTAGGAGACACGTTATATTTTATTTTATTAGTATACCAAAAAAAGAGATTGGAATAATAAATAAAAAAAAGTATATATTTGAAACAATAAAATCAAGTAGTATTGGATACTTTAAAAAATTAATTATACGTCGTTTAAAATATTCCAGTATAATAAACTTGGGAATTGATGAATCTTGCCGAGATAATGAAAGAGTAATAAAGACGTAGGGATAGTAAAAGCATCGTTAAAGTTTATTCGGCAATAAAAATGTCGATACATCGAGCGAGTACTTTTCTTAAAAGGAGATTCCGGGCCGTACGACGACGAACGGAAGAAAACGAAAGTGATCTCGCTTGGTTCTTAATTAATTTAACAAGTAGACACCTATATTGACACCGAAGGTATCATAAAGATTAGTATTTATATCGTTTTATTTTTTATTTTTTTTTAAAGAAAACCTAATCATCTAAATATCGCTGCTTGAACAATAAAACAATGGAAGACATGACGTATGTTTTTATTCTCTCTCTCTCTCTCTTTCTTTTTCTTCTATATATTTTCCTATATTTTCTTTTACGATCGATATTTATGAATTTTTGTTGTTTTGTCTTGTTTCTAACCCACATTTACACCCGCGATAGCACCTGTTTCAACGTCATTAATTTTCGGCAAGAGAGCAGCTTCCTTCATTCCGCCATTTTGTTTTTTTTTTCATATTCTAACCTCAAAAAATCGAATATCGAAAAAACAAAGTATCATTTAATTTAGATTTTCATCGATAATATCTAATCGACGATTACGTCGTATCTCTTCGTATGTTACTACACACACACACACACACACACACACACACTCTCTTTCTCTCTTTAAAGAAGATTTGTTTAGTTTGTTTTTTAAGAAATTATCAAGTATATTATCTGTTGTGAAAAATGGTGGTCAATGTGTTATCGATAATTTATTAATCTCCATTAAAGAGAGGTATTTTATCTTTTATGTGAGTCGAAATAATACAATTTAATAATACGTAAAAACTAAAGATACACATATAGAACACGTATTAACGGGAAATACTTTGAAATTGTCAATGCAGTTTATCTATGCGCAAATATATCGTTGCAATGACAACGATACACCGAATGAGTGGATTAATTTATAGAAAAAGGAAAGGGGTGAACAGGGTAGGACAGGGAAAAAGGGATTTGTTGGAAATTAGAAAAAAAGAAAATAAAAGAAAAGGGAAAAATCTAGCTATCGGTTACGAAGCGTATGACCCAGCACCGTAAGTTTCATTACCTACTTAAGTAGATTATTATCGCAGCCATATCGTCGGTGTCTGACCAATGTGCGTTTACGAATTTACCTACTTTCATTAAATCCTACTTTCTCTTTTTATCTTTCTCTCTATCTCTCTCTATCTCTCTCTCTTTCTCTTTTTATTTTCAAGATTATTCTTACGTCATTGAAATAATCAATCATAGACAATTTTCTATCACGTATTTACAGTTTCCAATAAAGAAACATTAGCTTAATAATTGTTTCTTTTTTGTTTTAATCGCTTTTTTTTTCTTTTTACAACCAAAAGAAAGTCTTCGTCGCAAAGGAACAAAAAAAAATAATAAGAAGAAGAAGATGTTTCGCATTATCCCACCCTTATGCTTCTGACGCATCTCTCGAAAATTTCTCGTGCTTGGTAGAACGCTTAAAAGAATTTTGTGGTAAAAGAAGGAGGAGGAAGAGGTGAAAGAGAAGGAGGGAAGTTTGACAAGCAACGGGATAGTGCAGCCGTGTGTTCCGAAATGTCTGCAAAACTGTCCTGAAGGATTCTATGCCGCGAGGACACACTTATACCAAAATATATATATATAAGTATATAGAGGAAGAGAGTATTTCGATAAGATCCATACGAAACACGTAACGCGATTTACGATTTGAAAAATCATTCCCCGTGTTTCCACAAAGGATGTGTCTATTGTTTTGTGTTAAAAATGAAATAAAGAAAAAAAGAAAATAAGTAATTATAGATTTCCGTAGGATATGACGAAAGTAGAATTTTATATAGTATCGTATATAACACGCACACGCACATATATCTCGCGTGTTCCTATTGATTATTATAATCAAATAATTCAAAGAAGACAAATTGCAATTCTATCGATTAATCGATAAATTAATTTCTTCTCTTACGCGTTAATATTGTTTGTTTCATTAATTTGTCAATGTTTTCAATTTCTATCTCTCTCTCTCTCTAATTCTTCTTTATTTATTATCGTTAAAAATGATTGAACAATCGTAGCTTTGATTTTTCGTTCGTTCGTTCGTTCGTAGAGGAAAATTCAAACGAAACTTTGCCGAATTCTCCAATCCCACTCGTTTGATTACGGTCAACGTGATATACAGTAATAGTTGTTAAAGAGTTGAAACCCTAAACTACCCTATCTTACTTATACACGTAGAGTATTATAACAGACCCTTAGAAGTTTCGAGTGGGGCCAGTGAAGAGAATGGCAATTGTCTTTTGTAACATCGTTTCACGACAGATTTTCACGGTTTCAATCGACGAGAAATGAGATTCTATATCCCGATACAAAGTTTATCTCGCGGTGAATTAGAAATTTCTTAATTGGGATGAGAGATTCCTTCCTTTGGAAGTTAAACGCGAGAAGGCAAAAGGGTTAGATCCTCGAGTGCGAGGCAATGAACGTGAAGGGCAGTGTCAGAGAGAATTCTCGAGTGTCACACCCCTATTTTCTCGCAACACTTGACTAATTCTATCCCCCCTTTCTCTCTCACTCTCTCTTAAACGTTAAATTCATTTCAATTAGTTACGCGTATAATTAATACTTTAGAAAATTATTCCGCGATAAGAGATAAATGAATGAAAGTAAATGAAGTATTTGAAAAGAGAGAAAGAGAACTTGTTATAAAGGAACGGTCAAAGAAAGGACGTGAGTATAGAAAAAGATAAAATGCAAAAAAAGGGTTTATATACTAAATGCAAGGACGGCACAATTGAAAAAACACGGCTGATATCATTCGCGTTGATCGTTGGTCTTCGTAGTCTCGTTTTTAAAGTATCGTTTTCATGTCGAATCGTGAGAGATCAATTAGTCAAAAGAGTTTAGTTTTATATATAATAATAATAATGATAATAGTAATAACGAGACCGACCTAACGAATTATTTCGGTATTTCGATTCTCGAGAAGCACAATTTCCAGCCACCAATTACTAATCCATCAAATTTATATCTGCATCTCGGGTTCCGAATCGTCGTGGAACCAATTAGAAGCTCTCTGACTCTCGGTCATGCGAACGCTGTTGATTTCCCTTTCGACGAATCTACTCGAAGATGTTCTGGCGACAGTGTTAGTACCGTGTTGTATTCCATTACGTCTACGTTCATCGAAAGATGCCAAAACTTCGATTCGGTCGCCTCTTCTAACAACTCTCGGTGTTGTTTCGACCGAACTGGCACCTTCGTCGCCTTCTGTAGCCCAATGTGGAAGATCCAAGATGGCCGAGGGCATGCCCCAATGTTCGGTGAATTCCGAACCGGATCTTGCCAAACTTGGTTGACTCAGAGATCTAACTAAAGAATCAGCGCCCCCTTCGAAGGAGCTCAAACTTGTCAAATCGTCTCTGTCCACTCTAGCGAAATCCCTGACCGTCATTTCGGACATCGACCTCAAATCGGCTTCGCTACCAGCACCCCCCACTCCTCTGTGACTGGTACTACCCAATCGGCGAAGACGTCCTACGTTAGAACCGGCGGCCATTGTTGTAGCCGATTGAGACGTTTGTAAACGATGACTCTGATTGGTCAAACTACGATGGGAACTACCACCGTCGCTCTCGTATTCGTATAAAGTTGGTAAAGATGATCTGCGTGATCTGTTGTCCCATTCGGACGATTTGGACCTTTTGTATCTCTGGCCATGATTTTTGCCGTGCAAACTCGACGACGAGGTAGAACCGGCGTGGGCCAATGGTGGTCCAAGAATACGAATGATCACGTCCCATTTAGCAGGGGGGAATAGATTCGTGTACCTAGCATCCTTTCGTATCAATTCGTAATCTTCTCTAACTACTGCTTCTGTTAAAAGTGTTCTAAGTGTACTCTCGGTCGTGATGATCTCGCGCCATTTAGCTCGTTCATCTTCAGTTAATTCAGACGCGTATCGTGGCTCTAATACTTTAGAAAGTCTTGCGAACCAATCGGTCGGTCCGTCCGGTTCGTTATCGAGCGTACGACGATGAGTCGAATGAGCCGGGGGTCTACATGGTATTTCTGCTCGTGCCGTGTAAGTTGGTTCTATTGTTACATCCGGTTCATCGTCGTTTACTATATCGTTAGGATGTATCGTAGGTTCGTTCGTGATCGTTAAATTCGACGTTGAACTAACGTCGGAGAAGCTTTCCCATTCCGGTGGAGGCGGTGGTAGATCCTCGGTCGGATAATTCCTGATTGTAACATCCCATTTGGGATCAACTTGTTGTTGGGGTCTGGCACGGTACTCGGTTACTTGTCTGCGATGACGTTCCACGTCCTCGATCGTTTTCTTCTCGGTAACGGTACGCAAGTATACATCGTCAACCTCGTGAGTCGTTATTTCTGGACGTCTAGGTGTTACAACTTGAGCTTCGACGAGTGGCTCGGTCATTTCCTCACGAAGAATACGTTGTTGTTCGCGATGTTGAATCGCTGTATGAGTAGTCGTTGTAATTGGCACGATCGGTGGCGGGGGTGGTGGTGTTGGTGCAAGAATACTGGCAACTCTATACTTTGCGTGAGACTGATCCATTACTTCCGTCAGAGAACGTGTCTCGGTTAACTCTGTATTCAGTGAAGTCAAAGATCGCGGACGACGAATTTCGTGATGTAGAATAGGTAACTGTTCGGCAGGTGGTGGAGATGGAATTCTTTCTTGAATCATCGTTGTACTTGAAGTAGTCTCTCTTTCCGCTTGTTTTCTTAGGATTCTCGAGTATACCGGAGGTGTTTGTTGACGGGACACGGTAGACGTTGACGAGGTACCACCAGGTGGAACATGCAATTCCGGTACGTATGAGAAAGTAGTCATTCTTGGTGGTGGACTTTCCAAAGTTCGACTCATAATGGATTCTTCCCTTTCCAAAATAGTCGTAAGATTTCTTTCTAGTGCAATACTGGCCACGTCGGATTCAGATGGCAAGGGACTAGATGGCGGTGGTGGTGCTCTCTTAACTCGCATTTGAACGTCGAATTTCGGCTCGATCGGGACTGCCATTGGGTGACGAGGAACGGCAATTCGCGATGCGTTGGCAGCCATCATCGAGGAAGTTCCTACTTCGGCAGCTACCGTCTCGGAATACAACGAACTTGTCGTACGTACTTCAACTTGACGTTGAGTTTCGTGATGATGTACGAATGCTTTGTTGTCGTAAGAACCAGCCGAGGATACTGGAAGCGAACGTTCCTCGTCCACCTGGTGAGCATAATAAATCTACGTTAAAAATGTCGAACCATCCTGTTCTATTATTTGATGAATTTTGTTAACGATTAATAACATTTATTAATTATTTACCTCGGAATGACTTTCGCTTGGATAATCGCTTGGCAACGTGTCGGAATGGTCGATGACCAAATTTGCTTCGCTGCCAGATGTGGAGGCTGCTGTCGTATGAAGGAGTGCGTGAGCGCGTGGGATTTTAAGGCCTTCGAACATGGTTATGTTGCTTAAAGAGGAACCGGATAATTTGGTTATCTCCGAACCGGTACCACTACCAAACGGATGACGATGAACTACTCGTACGTTTCTACGTTTTAAACACATGTACGAGCACCCAAGGCCGAGGAGCAACAAAGATAGGAACAAAATAGCACAGATGATCAAAAGAATTTGGAATCCTTTCAATGGGGGTTCTTCCACGGCTGCTGGGGCTATTGTACCCATTCTGTTAAGTAATCGTTAGGATTTAATAGATAAACAATGATACGAAATGAAGATTATATAATTGATTGGGTAAATGAAAATCTACTAACATGCTGGCAGGTGGGGCAGGTGTTGACGGTGCGATTGGTGGAGGATATCTACAAATTATCGTAATAACTTCATCCCCATCCATTTCTAATCCAGGATGAAAACGTACGACTATATTGTTGGTGAATACTCGTTGGGGATCCTGTCTGGTACCACATCCTACGAGATAAATATAAAACAAACATATCTTTGATACTTAGAAATAATCTAATACAATCCTAAATCAAATTACCTTTCAATGGTAATTCCAATTTAGCGTTCGCCAAACCACGACCTTTAACCATGCACGCACTGTTCCGATCGAAATCCGCATACGCTACACCGTAAAAAGGTTCATCGAACTTCAACTCGACATCCATGCTACCCTGGGCACAATTCAAATATGCCTTAGTACGATTGAGAAATATTATGGAAGATATGTCGTCAAGTTTGGTAACTTTGCCATTGAGAACAGTGCTCGGTGGTAATCCAGGTTGATATTCGATGCTGTTACCCTGCGATGCATAATTACTCTGTGCTAGGACAATCGATGGCACTGTCAGCCAGAGTAACAGGGTTCTATACCTCGACAGCATCTGCACGAATAATAATAATAATAATAATAATAATAATAATAATTGGGTTACTTTTTCTTTTATCGATCATCATTCCTACTTTTCAATAATGAACGAACGAACAAACGAACTATTCGAAAGCGAAAACGATTAGATCATTCAAGCAACCGCAGAATTATTGCGTTCGTTAGAAATTGTTGGAATGTTTAAGGTAGGATAGTAGAAGTGCAACGCGTAACAACAGCTTCCTGTCTCCCACCACTTATTTCTTCTTCTTCTTTTTTTTTCTTTTTTTTTTATATAATACAGCCACGCGATCCTCGATGGAATAACAGAGTCTCTATCTCTATCTCTCTCTCTCGGTTTCATGCACGGTTCCATGAGCTCGGCAAGTGTGCACCGTTAGATGCCGGTTAATATACTCTTTGTGCAGATTCGAGGAAAACAAAATAATGAAAGAATTCTAAACAGACTTTGTGAAATGGTGATACCAAATTTGACTCGATCAATTTCATTTGATAGTTGAATTGAAACACGGTAATATTATTCTTATTTGATTCGTATGGGGTCCCCATTCTATACCAATAAACTTAATCGTATTATTATTACTTTTGTATGTTTTTGGTGTTTTTCGCAATAAACAAGGGGGTTTAAATGATAAATTATTTACGCGAATTTACATTCATGTTAATATGTAAGAATATTTTTAATCGGATTAATAATAAATTAACGAATAAATATACGTAATGTGATTCTCGATGTCCAATCACAATATAAACAGGATTAGCAATACTTACTTTGACTTTTCGAGCTGTTCTTCCCCCAAGGCAACTAACTCCTACGCCTTTTTCCTCGTCTCACCTCTCGGTATCCTCAGACTGCTATGGCAATCGCATGGCGCACTGACCTGAACAAAAAAGGCAAGAGAAACTGATGGTTAAGAATAGAATGTGTTATTTTATTTTAATAATTATTTTTGTTTAATCGTCGAAAATTATCACGAATAATAAATCGTCATAATAAGAAATATTTTTGTATTTTATATCATTTATTATGAATTATTATCCTTTATCACACGTTATAATATTATAATATCTAGATTAATAATTATTTTAAAGCATCGAATGAAAAAATAAAAGGATTTCTAATAAAGCAAATTTGAAACTAATTAATTAACGTATACGAAGAAAAATTTGTGATAGAAATTATATTAATATTATTGATAGATTGACGTTAACTATGAATTATTATTTTTTACCTTGTTATAATTATAATATCTAGATCAATAATTGTTTTAAAACATCGAATGTAAGAAGACAAGGACATTTTATGAAACAAATTTGAAACAAATTTACTTGACATACGAAGAAAAATCTATTATTCAGAAAAATAATTCAAGAAATTATCGAATAAAAATTTCTATCGAAATAATATTGATATTATTAATCGATCGAGAGTATGTGACATCGACCTTCCTCATTTCCTGCCCCCCTCCCACCTCTTGCAAACGTATACACGCGTGCATACGTAGGTGTGTCAGACATTTACACAAGTAAGAAGAATCTTTTCAAGAAGAGAGACCTCGACCAACTCTACTCAAACACTCGTATATGGTCTCTGAGTCATCTTTTCTTTCTTTCCATCTATTTATCTATCCATCTATCTATCTATTTATCTTTTCTATCTCTTTTCCTCTATTGTACGAGTGTATACCTAAGCGCATCACGATCCCCTATTGCATTCCATAGCTTCTGCATGAAGCATGAATCGTGATTGTCCTACAGATCACGCCTACACGAATATATTGTCAGATATTGTCGCCATTCGAACACGTGTATACTCATCGTAAGTGTCCTATACGTGAGAATACTTCTAGATTTAATGATTTAACTGGCCTTTAAGAATTCTTCTCTCTCTCTTTCTCTTTCTTTTTTTATTTCTTTCTTTCTTCGTATGAGAAAACAGTGTACAATTAGATTCTATCGAGTATATGTAAAGAAACATTATGAACTTTGCAAGCAAAGTTATGTACACGATGCACCCAACAAAATGGTTCCTATTCTTAGAATATTTTTGTTCTCTCTCTTCTTCGTTCGTTACTTTCTTTCTTTCTTTTTTTCTTTCTTTTGAAATAACAACGGCAACGATATGGATGACGAACCACCGTGTCAGGAAACGCCGAGAAATCTTTCCTATGTTTGAGAAAGGAAACAAATACTATACTATACTAGGCGAACGTTTAAATTACGGGAACAAACCTGGAAGACATTTTTTTTCTTATTTTTTTTTCTTATTCGTTAAAGAAAAAAAAATCATCGAACCTATATATATATATATATATATTCTTACCTACGAGGAATTTTAAAGATGAAGAAGAAGAAGGAAATGTAAATGAAAGGTGTCTAAAAGAAAAAATAAAAAAGAAATAAAAAAAAAATGAAGGAACAGAAGGGCGAGTGTCTCTTCTTTCGAATTTCGAGAATTGAAATCGTGTGTTCTAAGCACGACTTCACTTTGCTTCGTACGATGGAATTTCATAGTCTCTCTTCTCTCTCTCTTTCTTTTTCACTCATCGAGCAACGAGAAGAACGTCGTATTTTTCAAACTATTCCCGGATACGACACGTGACGAGGAATGACTTATCGGTTTCTTCTAAACTATTATAAAACATTTTTCTGTCCTTTTCTTTTATATATTTCTTTTATGTTTTTTCTTTTTTTTTAATCTGAAAATTCAGTATCTATGTCTCATCATGAACGCATTTCTATCACGATTGTCAACCAACGACAGATTTATTCATTTTAAAAACAAATTTATTGTATTCCAAATTTATATATATTATCTTATTCAATATATTTTTCATCATTACGACGATACGCGAGAGAATGATTTATTTTATTTCACTGATATATTATTTATTTTATTAGGATTAATGTTAAACAAGTTTAAAAACAAAAAAATAAGAATAATAATATAAATAGAATTGTAAACGTTCAATAATGTATTAGGCAAAATTGCATAAATGTGTTGTGTTTTTGTTATTTTTTTTTTGGTTTATTATTCGATAATAATTAAACTATTACACGTAATTACGAGTTAATTATGGTCTGCATATTCGCGACGTTTAATTATATCCTTTTTAGCATGTTCATAGTACGTGCAACTACCGATCAGTATTTGAACGTACAAGGAACAGCAATCGTGACCTCCTTATGGTCTTTACGCAATATCTACATGTATACACCTATAGATAAGTGACGTATACACACATATATATCTATATATCGATCGAATATAGAAATGACTGGCCGGTTCTTAGTAAAAAAAAAAGAAAAAAAAAAACTACATCGATACATTCATAGATATTTTTATAATCATAAAAATCCATAATGATGCTACCACGATGATCTTATGCTTATATTTATGATACACGTTCATACTTATTTTATTTATTTATTTCTTTCAAAAAAAAAGAAACCAAAATTATATTAAAGTAAATTAATAACTGAATATAAAAATAATCATCGTTTATACGTGGATTTGTGCACACACATACGATACACATTTAAAAAATATATATAATTATATTAGATTATTATTTATATTAGTGTAACACATATATAGTTATGTAAAAATTTGGTAGAAAATAATCATCGTTTATACGTGGATTTGTGCACATACATACGATACACATTTAAAAAATATATATAATTATATTAGATTATTATTTATATTAGTGTAACATATATATAGTTATGTAAAAATTTGGTAGAAAATAATTTACAATAATTATGTAAAGAGAATAATTATTAATAATAAATTAATTAAGGGTGTGTTATATATTTACGATATTTACGTGAACAAAAAGTAACGAAGAGATAAAAGAATGAGAAAGAAAAAATGAATTAAACAATAGAGACAAACAAATAAAATATTAAATAAAAATTAAAGAATATAAGTGATACGAAAACAAAAATATTTTTAATTAATCGATTGACGTTTGTGAACTAAACCAAACGACGAATGGTAGAATGTTAGTCGAGTTTAACCATAGTTCGCGCCTTTAAAGTCGAACCAGTCAGTTATTCGAAGGAGACAACGTTGATCTTATTGCGCAAAACCCCCCTCCTCCTCCTCCTTCACCACCTCCTCCTCTTCTCTCAGCGACTTTCACTGCCCGCATGCACACGCATATACGATGGAATAAAATAAAAAAAAGAAAAAAAAAAAAAAAAAGAAAAGGAAAAATAAAAAGAACGTGCGCAAGTGAGAAGATCGGAATAAATGAGGTGAGTGAGTGAACGAGAGAAAGAAACATAAAATACATTTACAATCAAACATCGGATCTGCTTTTCCAATCCGACATGCGCAAATACACACACACGCATACATACATAAGTATTGCTGCAAATGCGTGTGTTTTGTGCCCTTGCGAATATACTTATACTCTAGGTGTGTCCTACGTAAAAATTTATCTCTGTATCTGTTTTATACATATATATGTGTGTGTGTGTGTGTTGAAAAACGTGGGTGACTATCGACTTTGTCACGACGTCTCGTCTCGCACCACTAAACCGCACGAAAATCAAAAGAGATAAAGAAAGAATGAGATAGACAGAGAAATATATTGAAAGAGAGAGAGAGAGAGAGAGAGAGGGAGTGAAAGATATTGAAATTGTTGATGGGAAAAACGAAAATGTCAGGGTTACGTCGATATTCAAAAATGAAATCATTGAAACTACTTTTACGTTATTTAAAATTATTATGAAAAATGCGTACCGAGTATTTACTTACATTTAAAATACAAAATATATATAATAATGTGTGTTGATTATAAGTTATGAAAGGTGGGGAAGAATGGGTGGAGTAAATGAGAAAGTTTTTCGAAAGGTTTCGAATAATGATGTCTTTCACTTTTCTATATTTGATTTCATTTAAATAAATATNTTTAATTTTCGTCCATTTTTATATTTTTTACACGAAAAAAGAAAGAAAGTATTTTGAGAATATCAGCATTGAATAGAAAGAAAGATAATTTTTTGGGGATTTGAAAACGTAAAGTTTCTCGTTAGTTAATTCATTTCAATCCATATTATACGAACGCGTAATATTATTATATATTAATCATCGTTTGAATATGTAATAGTTTAAAAAAAATAAGAGCAACGAATAGTCAAACTTTCCCTCATTCGTTAAGTTACGATACGAGACTTACATAAAATAATGAAATATCGACTAGAAACGCGTAATTATATTTGTATAATGTTTAAATACGTGTTTTATGTGCATGTATATGTGTACATATATGTATATATATGTATAAATAAGTGTCCTATGCAAATATATCGAGTAACAAGCAAGCAAGAGGATAATAATGAATTACGTAACCGTAGAAATGAGGGCGCTGGGTCGGATTTCGATGGAAAGAAAGAAAAAAAAACAAAAAGGGGAAAAATAATAAAAAAAAAAAGAAAGAATATAAGAAAAATATATTATAACGTCGATAAAAAATATAATCGGTAAACTTTAACGAATGATTTTGTTTGAATGAAATCGAATCGAGATAGTTTCTGCTTTTTTTTGTTTTTTCAACCAAAAATTATTATTATCATTATTGTTATTATTTAAATGACGATTCGAAAGTAAGCCACCAAGTTCGTCGTGTGTTGACTTTCACGAGAAATGGGGGAAAAAAAAAAAAAGAAAAAAAGAATGAGAACAATGTAAAAAGAAGGAAATAAAGATAGAAATATTTGGAATTATTAAAATTTCGAATGATCATTCGGTAAAGGAGTATCTTCGATCGGAAACATAAATGGTAAAAAGAGAAAGATATTTTTTCCCCCCTTCAAATTCTTTATTCTTTTTCTTTTCATGATTGGTTTTGCCATATTTGTCGTTAGTATACCGAAGAACGGTTTTTTATTACTACGAAAATTCTTATAGAATAAACGTAATAATGTTATGAATATAATTTCTTGTTAGAATATATGAATTTGTGAAATCACAGAAGTATTCGTAATTTTATTGTGCGTCAATTTAATATATATTTAATTAATATTATTTAATATATTCGTATATATTGAAAATATTCTATTGCGAGATATAAAAATACATTAAAAAAATTATTTAAATATAATTATAAATTCTTTATTATTTTTCACACTAATTGAATTTCATAATCTGAAGGATTGAATAATTTTCAAATAAATGTCTTCTGACAATTAATATAAAATAAAATGAAATAATTTTACTCATTATACGAGAAAATATATAAATTATTATGAAATTGACACAAGGTGTGTGTGTGTGTGTGTGTGTGTGTGTATGGGAAAAGGTACGAATACTTTTGTGATTTACTGTAAGACGTTTTATTAACGCACTGCTAGATGATAACGTCTTATTAAATATATTTCTTGATTGTACAAGTAGAATTTTACTTCGCAACAACGTCCTCACCGTTTAATGACTGTCTTAGAGCGATAAAAGAAGAAGAAAAAAAAAAGGGAAAGGAAAGAGACACACACATTTATGAGAACAGATCTTTTTTACACACTCGTAAGTTTTCAACTTACTCGAAAAAGGTAGAAAATTTTCTTGTGTATCGTTGAGAAAATTTTTCTTTTTTTTTCTTTCTTTTATCACACACGTCACGAAAGAAAATAGTACGGAGAAAGAAAAAAACAAATTTGTATATATTTGCACATGCATGTATGGAAATGTGTGGGACATATATAAGTGGTAGAGTAGTATATGCAAATATTCACTATGATAATAGTAACGTCGTTACGTTTGTTGATCGTTGCTAGGATAAAAGGTTTGATCAACGTTCGATAGTTTTTTTCTCGATGAAAAGGAGGAACGGTATAGATAAAAAGAAAAAAGAAAAATAGTAGAACAATTTTATGGTAACCGTTTGGGCTAATAGAGAAACAAACGAGATAGGAATAAAACGAACAAAATAAAGTAAAATAAATAAATGAAAGATAGAAGTGAAGAAGAAAAAAAAAAAAGGKGGAAAGGGGGAAAAAATTCTTAAGTAAAACATTGTGTTCGGTGAAACGAAAGAATTACGTTCTCGTTATTTTTCAAGTGAGATCTTTTACGAGACGTCAGCAATGGAAGATTGTCGTGTAACTATAGTAATCGTTGGAAAGAGAAAGAAAGAAAGAGAGAGAGAGAATATATACGAACGAAATAAATAAAGAAAAAGGTCATTTCTATGGACAATTTTTATTTCCAAGATACTTTCTAACGAATAACAATAATAATTATTATTATATATTTTGCAAAGCTTTTGCGTTTCACCTAACCGTAACAAAAAAATCGTTGTATTTCGTTTATCAAAAAATGTACTCACGTTATCCACACTCTTGAAGGTTTTCATTGTTACAAAAAAAACGAAACAAAAATAACAAGAAAAATCCAATAATTAAAGAAAGAAAAATCTCTACAAAAAAAACCTTGACGAACAAAGACAAAAGATATATAATAAATAAATAAAACAAACAAATTACTTTAGAAATAATCGAAAAATTCTTTCCTCGGCTATGAACAAAAATTCTGTACCCTTTTATTTTGAACATATAAGAACAGAAAAAAAATAATATGATCTTTTATTCGCGTTCGCAAAGCATAGAGTCTCACGAGACTTCTTGCGAAGCTGGTTGACCGTGCCCCGTACCAATGACGTCATTCCCGTCGTATCCAAGATGGCGAGCCACGTTCGCCAAGCAAAATCTACGAGCTGGCGGCGGGCGTGAGCTCATGTCGGACCGGTTTTTCGTTTGGTATCGCGAGTAGAGAAAGAGAATGAGATAGAGAATGAGAGAGAATGAACAGAAACAAGAAAAGAAAATGTTGTACTGGTTTACGTTAGCAAACAATTTCGTCGTTCCGAAAAACCACCGCCTCTCCTCTTTCTCCTTCTTCTTCCCCCTCCATCCCCACCACTTCTCTTTTTTTCCCCCTTTTTTTTTTTGGATCCTTCCTCAGCGTGCTCACTTGCCGTAACACGATGTTTCGGCTTCATTCGCGAACTGAACAAAATAATAGGGAAGAGTAAAGAAGATAGAATATCGAAAGGATACCGGAAAACATTGGCGTAGATTAATTTGACTTTTTTTTTTTCGTTTTCTACGATATCTACTTTTTTTTTTCGGGATACTTTTTCCGATTACTTTTATTAGAAGTATACAAATAGATAAGTGTATATTGATTTCAAAAGTTATGTTCAATGGTTTGTTATGTTAATCTGAATTGTTTTGTATCTCGTCGTTAGAAATTCGTTTCCTGAGAAAAAATGATAATCAAAATTTGCCCAACGAGCAATAAATTTCAATGAGTTATTTTTATATTCTCTCATAAAACAACAACAAAAAATAAAAAAAGAAAAGATAAAAGTGTAGTCGAATGATTCTTTTTGTCGACCGAGAACACGGATGATGTAATATATGTTGAAATTATATTTTGAATTTTTTGTTTCTTTTTTAAATACGAAAGGAACAACGATAATAATAATAATAATAATATATCTTTTAGAGATTAATGTAAGAAAATGAGAAACTAGATAAAAGTCGTGTAATAAATCACTCTTGTTCTAGGATAGATCACTTTCCTTCGCGTGACACGAGTTTATATACACCGAGAAGACTTTCTTTCTTTCTTTCTATATTCTACTTCTCGTGAGAAACAAAGTGATCATACAACGAAATAAGATGATTTCGAGTATGGTAAGTTATTACTCGTCAACTTTGTTTCACTTATTAAATATTCCTACTCATATATTTTTCTTTTATTTTAACGATTGATGATGTAAAAACAAATATTACACATAAACGTTTCACATTAATAAAAAAAAAGAAATATATGTTATAATAAAATAAATGAGAAAAATTTTGTTAGGAAGTTACGATAACCAGTAAAATTTGAAAGAGAAATACAGAATATACAGCCCTGACCATGCTCAAGTTTCCTCTTACCAAAGATACTCCGAAACGATAAAACTTCCAAGTTCCAGAGATACCTCGATGAACACAGAGAGAGAAAAATAAAAATAAAAAGGAAGAATGAGAGAGAGAGAGAGAAAGAGAGGGAGAGCAAAGAAGCTTTCGCAAGGCACTCTCGAACGGTACGCGGACACTCTAAGAGAATCTGCGAACGCGAAGGTCAACGAGTTCTCTCTCTCTCTCTCTTTCTCTCTCTTTGCAGCTAGGAAAACGCAGACAGATACGCGTTAAAGCGAGCAAACGAGTACGCACGCGATGATCCTTGTCTCACACACAGAAATATCTATATGTATATATATAAAAATTTACATAGATACATTATACATTCTATAAGGATAACCTTTTGAAATGATTAAATAAATTAATTGGATAAATTCTCTTTAATTGCACGAATGAAATCCTTTCTATTCGAGTTAGTTCAATCAACTATCAATAAACATTTATCTTTCATTTCCCTTTTCCAACCTACGTGAAAAGAAATAGAAAATTAAATTAAAATTTATTGTTTAACGTACCTCTTTTCCATGAATATCTCCTATGCGTGTTCTTCGATTAAAATCAAAATTTCGATAGAAAATAATGTTGAACACAAAATCACATAGGATATATATATATATATATATGTATATGTGTGTATGACGATTGATGCACAATTGTTGAAAGAGATCGGTATAAACGAAAACGTGGTAATATCCTTTTATCGGTGTATGCTATTTTCCTATTGTTATATATTTTTTTTTCTTTTTTTCTTTCTTTTGGATTATTGTTGTGTTGTCGTTTTTTCGATATAGTGGGCGCGCACGCGCGCAGATTAAATTATCGTCGTACGCGATCGCGCGAGCGCGACTGAACGACCGATTCTATTCGAGAGAAGGTTTCACCTGCGGAGTTGCAGGAGCTCCCCCTTCCATTTCGAGTTACCTGCGAGTGGCTGGCGAACCTAGTAGAGAGAGAGAAAGAAAGAGAGAGAGAGAGAGAGTACCTTTACTCTACCTCCCCCCCACCCTTTCTTCTTTTTGTCCCACCTTTCCTTATCCTCTCCCACTTCTCTAACCACGCATCATCTTCTTTTACCTCATCGTACTCTTCATCTTTTCATCTTCAAACTTCATCTTTCATCTTTATTCTTCAACTTTCAACTAACAACTACAATTATATTCTCGTAATTTGTATCTTTTAATCTTCTCATCCATTTAGGATGTAACTTTTATCGATGTACGTTTAACCAAGCACACGAATACGAACGATCTTCAATTGGTATATTTTTCGTTAGAAAAATTGCAACCGAGTGTATGCATTATCCTTGTGTGTGTGTGTGTGTATCTGTAAATGCAACAGGACAAAGATATGAAGGAAAAGATATATATATATATATATATATATATATATATATATATATTTTTTTTTGTTCATAACAGATCTCGCGTGTACAGGACACGAGCCAGAGATCATCGAGTATCGTGGATCACGTTTCATGAACACGCGTCCTATACGAAAAATAAGAAGAAGAAGAAGAAGAAGAAGAAGAGGGAAATAAGAAGATACCTTTGAGGTTTGAGAAGAAGGAAGAACACGAATATGACTCGTCTCTTTCGTCGGCGGCTAACTTAGAGGACTCATGTCCAAACGCATAAGCCGTTTATTGGCCAGAAGAACGAACACGAGAAAGAAAGAAATAAATAAAGAAAGAAAGAAAGAGAAGAAAGATGAGAGTCGTTTCGTTCGGCTTGAGCTCTTTCGAGTGGTCTTTCCAGTTTAAGAAGATGACCAAAAAGGCGATATACATATATCCCCTTCATCCCCCTTCAACCCTTTCTCTTTTACAGTATACATGTCTTATCTTCTCTTACTACTTTTGTCGTATGTCTATCTCTGTCTTTCTTTTACTACTTCGTTTCATATCTGTCTGTATTTCTTTCTTTTACTACTTCACTTCACGTCTGTCTGTCTCCCTTTTCCTACTTCGTTTCATATCTGTCTGTCTTTCTTTTTCTACTTCGTTTCATATCCGTCTGTCTTTCTTCCTCTACTACTTTTGCCATCCGTTCGGTATATATCTCTTGAAGTTTTTCTTCCTCTCTTTTCTCTCTCTTTCTCATCGTTGTTTCTCTCCGTTATTCTCCTCTCTTTTTCTCTCATTCGTCTTTCTTACCTTTTGGTGTCCGGCTTTGACCGGCCGTAAATGGCAAGCAGAAGGCCTTGGGCGCCCACGCCCGTTCCTTCTTCTTCTTCTTCTTCTTCTTCTTCTCTTCCTTTCACTATTATTCTTTCTTTCTCTCTCTCTTTCAAACTTACTACTCTCTTTTAGTCTTCTTTTTGTCTTTCGCAAAATCCTCTTACTACCATCATCTCGACATCGATCGGGAACCAGTTGATCGATCCGAGATCACTTTTATCAGAAGTGGGCATCTCTCGTACTCGCTTCCGAAAGGATCAACGTCTCCGATATTCTTTACGAAAAATCACTCGAATATTTTTGATACCCCTTGTTGTAGTCTTCCTGAGTGATTTTAGTTGAAATCGAATTGGCTTATTTGAAATCTAGAAGAGCCAGTGGAAACAGCCGATTCGAACGATATTCCATATTATTATTTTCAAAATAAAAGATTAATTATGGATTAATTTAATAAAAATTTAACGAAAAGATATATAATGTTGATTTTTGGTAATAATTAAAATAAAATCAATGTGCGTATCGATCAGATTAATATTCTCAAAGAATGTAGAATAATTATTTATCTAAAAAATTGTTTTAAAAAGAAATTCTAAAATTAAAATCTGAATTTAACGACGAAGAACGTTTACAAGTTGACAACTTTCAACCTTTACGTGACCAATGAACGAATGAAATACACGAACGGATAGATGAGAAATATAATAGAAAAAGAAGTTTTCGAATCTTGGTGGGAATCGCGTTCACGCGAAAATTATGTTACTACAGAGAGATAATATATCCGCGTCAACGTGGCTACTATGTGTAAACCTTGTAAAAGGGTAAGTGCAAAAACATGCAAACACGAATGCAACCGGAGAACGCGATAAAAGTACCGCTTCATAGTTGTGCGTGTGCGTATATGCGTGTGTATGTATCTGAACGTCTGATACTTTCTTTCCTTTTACTTCATCTTCTTTTTCTTATTCTTATTCCGTAGGGTGTAGAATGCGTAAGAAGGGAATGCCATGGTTTTATCCAAGATTCATGAACACAACCATGTGAGAAATTACGAAAAGTCTCTAAGAAAATATTAATATAAATTTGTAATAAAAATTTCCTCAACAAATGTATGTTCCAATTAAAAAAGTAATATATCGAGATTTTAATTATTGATTTGACATTAAAAATGCATTATGATTAACATTGCATATATGCAACCGTAACATATGTGATTATTAAAATATTATATTATTTATTTATTATATATTAGCACTCTCGATATTTAAAGAATTAATTCGACCAAAAATTCTATCGAAAAGAACTTCAAGTTGTTTAAAAAAAAAATAAAAAGAAAGTATCTGAGATATAATTATATAAGAAAATTTGTTTGACCTATTAATTAAGAAAAAGATATGTTAAAAAATAGCTATAACCTGTCGACGAACTTTGCTCTTGTATAAGATTAGAAATTATCGATTAGTGTTGGAATGAGACGAGTAGAAATAACTTATAATCTAAAATCGAATTTCATGTAATTCGAGTTGCACACTTAATTTGTTCGAATAGAAGAGAAAGAGATAGAAACAGAAAATCTAATAAAATAATATCGATACATTTCTTTAAGTATCGAAGAAGTTTAGATCGTTTATTTCAACGACAACCAAAAAAAAAAATCCAATAATTTAAACGTTCCCACTTAATCTTTTCGACTACACGTTTCTACGAAATTCTATCTCACTCGATAGTAATTAATCTTCCATAGTCCACGCTCGTTTTTTTATTTTTTATTCCCTTTTACAATCTTGACAAAAATAAAAATACAAAAAATAATATACATATATATTTGAAATAAGATGAGATATACCGGTTAGACACTTGAAAAAACAAAATCGATTGAAAAAATTCCAATAAGCTATTCTCTCTTTCCTTTTTTATCACTATGAGTGGCTTGACTATGACAGAAAATAGCATCAAAGGAATATAATACTTTCGATAGGCTCAAAGTTAATAATGTTCTCTTGAAATAAACCATGCTTTTATAAACTCGTGTGCTAAAAACTGTGGAAAGAATTTATCCGATAATAAATTTTTCATGCATCAACACCTATACCCCAACCCTCCTCCTCCTCCTCCTCCTCCCCCATGGAACCAGTCAATTCGTCTTTAATACTTTTCATTATTTTCTACGAAAATCGTAACAACAATTTCTATTATAACATTATATCACATTGATACAATCCTTTTTCTTTTTTACGAGGAATTAAATTTTGAGGATATAAAACAAGAAAAAAAAACAAATTTTTCATATATACTATATCAATTTTCATGAAAATAAAATATGATACTATAAATTTTAATTGAAATAAATTAAATTTCTCACTTTTTCTATACGAAATTCCAATGAACAAAAAAAAAAGATAAAAATCGATCAACGTAGCTTGATGATTTTTTTTCTTTTTCTCTGAAAAAAAATAATAATAATAATAATAATAAACAACTTTCAATCAATTTAAGATAAAATACCGTAGGAAAAATTTCTCTCGTAAAGGTACGTGTATGTTACATGAATATTCAAAGAAATATACGTTCACTTTCGTCTGGGTTTGCAAGAAAGTATATATTCGCACCTTTCTCTCTCTCTCTCTCTCTCTCTCTCTCTCTCTCTCTCTCTCTCTCTCTCTCTCTTTCTATATTCGAGAAGCAAGTTTCTACCAACCTGATGTACCAAGTTAAGATGACCGAAGGTATCTGAAAAAGAGATAAAGAAATAAAGAAATAAAAAGGGAAGGTATACGAAGAGGTAAGTTCAAGAAGAAAAAGAAGAAGAAGAAGACACCGACGTTTAAAGTTCGTTGGTTGGTTGGTTGGTTGGTTGGTTGGTTTGCTCGTAAAGGTTTCGTCTTCTCTTCGTTTCTCATTTCTCTACAACACATATCTTCTTTTCTCTTTTCTTCATCGTCGGATAAGTTATGGGGGACCGGTCTTCTCTCGGGTCCTATCTTCCACTCAACCTTACTTCCAAATATGGGCAAAGGGGAGAAGAGGAGGTGCATCCATCGGTTGCACTTGGTGCACCAACGAACGACTCTCTCTCTCTCTCTCTCTCTTTTCGAATAACCAAACTCGTTACTTATTCGATATATACTTGCGTATAATACCGCGCATAGTAGTTATCTAACCGTTCCTGTGTTAAATTATCTATGAATTTAAAAACGTGAGAATGGATTATATAGTTTAGTTATAGATTTATAAATGGGACTTTTTTATATAATACTTTTCCCATTTTCCATCATTTCTTTTTCTTTTGTTATATTAGAAATGTGTTAAGGAAATAATTTGTAAGATTACGAAGATGTAATACGCGTTAACGTAAATCTCTGTGTGTAATATTTTACAAGAATTCTAAACGTTAATCTGACGGTATTCGTGTTGAAACTAGAACATTAATTAAAACTTTTGTAAATTTATATTACTATTAAATATTTTCAATTTAATATTTAAATCCCGTAAATATATATATGTTTGAACAATATTTATTACTGGATTTGTATGATACCGTTATTAAAAAAAAAACAAAATCCTCCGTTCATAATTTCTGATCTTTTTCAATGTGTGAACACTTACTTAAATACGGGTTTATAATTCTCTCAGGAAATTATGATAATGATTTGAAAAAAATATTATTTTAAAAACGGATTATATAGGTGCGACTTAAAATTATGATCAAATTCTATGAAACATTATATATATATATGTCGTTGAAATAAAGAAAACGTTCATTTATTTAATGATATTATCTCGCAATATTTGTCGAACAAAATTAAAGACAGGTACAGCGAGATCCACTTTCCCTTCGACATTCGTAACAATCGATGGCAGTGCTTATAATATAATATTTAACGTACCCATCCATTTTATATGGGGTTTTTCGATTATCCATTAATTAATAATCTTTCTCTCATTTTTTTTTTTTTTCTTTTCTTTTCGTTTCTTCCTTTTTTTTTTCTTCGTCTCGTTAAAATTCGCATTAAGAATAATAATATAATAAAACGTAGAACAATTTAAAAAAACAAAAATTACTCGTGAATATGATCACATCGTTGTGATCATATAGTCATCACGACTACTATTATTATTATTATTATCATCATCATCATCATCATTTCTCGGTAGTCGTTGACTCGCATACGATTACGTTTCTTGCGAGAAATTTTCAAGCTGCCAGATCTGAATCTCTAATTCGCGATGTTGTTTGATGGTGGATCGTTGCCAACAAAACACCCTAATATTCTCTTTTCTCATCCTATCTAGATCATTTTGCGTCACCCATTAGAGAGAACACGTACGATAATTACTTTAAAAAAAAAATAGAAAAATAAGAACAAAAATGCATTATCTTTTTACACTCTTTCATTATACAATATATATATATATATATATATATTGTACTTATATGCGAAATTCAAATGAAAATTCAAAGAAAAAAGAAACGAAACGAAACGATTTTTATAAGTAGGCCGTTCATTATTATTATTATTATTATTATTATTATTTCTTTTCTTTTTTTATTTCACGAAGATTATCGAACTCACACATCGATCGTGTGCTTCTTCGTAAAAATTTACATATAACGTGTAGGTGTACGTATATTTGTAATATGTTGAGTGTGTATGTGTGTATGAATGCATGTATATAATAAGTAAGTACGTAAATACGTTAGTCCGTTAACGACCGATATCGTTTCGAACGATAAGGCACGTGTAAAGTGGTGCATTATGCACCGGCAGTCTGTCTTTTTCTCGATTAGCATCCTACGAAAAAAAAAAAAAAGAATAAAGGTTACTTCAAATTTTGCTTATATGTGGTGGATAAGGGGGTGGGCGGAGAGCTGGAAAGGGGAAAATAAGTATGGTTCCTCTATTTTTTTTTTCTTTCCCCCCCCCTCTTTCCCCCATTACCCCTTTTTAAACATAAAAATAAATTGTCAATTGAAATATTTGTTTTACATTTTCGTAGGATGCTATTTCGAATCGAATTGAAATATCGATTGTTGTTATATATATAGTCTTGCGTTAAAAAAGAAGGACCTTCCCCCTCCTCCTCCTCCTCCTCCTCCTCCTTCTTTTCGAGGAACGAACGCGTAAGATGTAATTAATTAATTAATTAATTAATTAATAATATATTCCTTTTTTTGATTGCCCTCTTTTCTTCGGATTTTTCGTTTTATTTTTTTTATTCTCTTTCGGTTTGTTTTTCCTACGTCTCTTCTTTTTCATTCTTTTTTTTTTTTCTTTTTTTTTTTTTCTTTAAACGAACAACCAACGACGACGACGACGAGGAAAAAAACAACGGCACGTCCATTCCAAAGGACAAGAAGATATGCGGGAGGAACCTCGGCATTTTTGGAATCCTCCGATCATCCTCCGAGGCAGCCTGTTAACAAAGATCAAAAAACAAATGGTTGCAATTGTTGTATAAATGCATCATACACATATATATATAATTATCATAATTATATTATTTCAAATGTAATTTGTAATGAGATTTTATTTTTCATATTCTTTCAATAATAATAATAATAATAAATATATATACGATTAATAATTTAAACAAAAAATATCTTTTTGAATAATATATAATATTTATTAATAACAATGATTATTATATAAAATAAAACAATATACGTACAAATAATTAGTCGAAAAAATATATATACATATAAAATAATAGTTGCGAATTTTTATCCTACCATTACCATCTTCGAAATAAAAATAGAAACAGGATAGATAAATAGATTATATAGAGTTATATGAAAATATAATATTTGAAAAATTCTTTATGCATCCTATCTCGTACTCGTAGTTTTTCCACCTCTCTCGAAATAGGACCGAAAACTCGTAAACGTCAAATCCTCGTTGAATCGAAAATTTATGGAAACGGACTTTGATATCGTCGTGATCATGAATACGCATGCATATCGAAAGAGAAATAGAAAGAGACAAAAACAGAGAGAGAGAGAGAAAGAGAGAGAGAGATGGATAGAAATAGAAATTTACATTGCACACACTTAATTCGTAATCTTCGGGATGGTAATACAAAGAGGGGAAGGGAAAAGAGGAGAGTGAAAAGGGGGAAGAGAATCAAGGAGGGTTAAAACCATAACGTTAAAACCTTCTCTATCTATCGTAGAATGAAGATAGAATATTTGAATAGAATGGTAACGCTTTAAATAGGAACCACCAAACACCGATGTGTCGTAATCATCATCACTTTTCTATCTTTCTCCTATATTTCTCTCTCTCTCTCTCTCTCTTTCTCTTTCTCTCTTTTCAATTGGAGAGAATATCGATCGTTGAAATATCGATCAACAAGCTCATGTATCCTATGATTTCTCAAAGGAACATGTTACGAGGAATGATACAACGTACGTGTTGCACCAAATGCAAATAAAATAAACTTTTAACGAGTGTTATACACGTAAAATCTAAAATCAATGTAACTATGTATGTACATAAATACGTATGTATATCATCATCATCATCATCATCATCATCATCATAGTTGTTTAAATCTTCTTAAACATTACTTATAACAAACACACATATATATATATATACATACACTATGTAGAGAAAATGTAACAAATTCACACGAAAAATCATTTTAAGAAAGAAAATTATAAAAAGAAAAAAGGAATAAATTCTTTTTTAATTATTTCCGTTTATTTTGATATTTCTATGAGTGAAAAATTAATAATAATAATCAAGACTCACCTAGATCAGGCTTCTTGTAATTCTCCTTTACCACCTGGCGAACCGTGATGATGCCTAGATGCAAGTCTATTCGCCAATTCGTGCATCACGTCCCTGTATATTACGGTGTCCAAATTTTCCCCCAACATGTATAGGAGAAACCAATCACCGACTTTGCTACGTCGTACTATTGTCTCGACAGCTTCCCTTCTAACCAAACGAAATCTCAACCTTAACAGGTAGACCCTCGTTCGCGGCGAAAATATTATTACGATCTGTGAATATCATAATGATTAATAATATTAATTGATTTGATTTATTTCACACACATTAGAAATATTTTTATTGAATAGTAATGTAGTTGTTGTTGTTATTATTATTAGCTATGGTTAGATTTTTAATGCAACATATTTTTGGTGTGTATTTATTTTTAAATGATTAAAATATATTTCAAAAGGTAGAAATTACAAAAAGATTATCGAAGAATGAATTATTCGTAAATAATGGATCTATCGTTTGGATAAAAAGAAATATTTGTAGAAACTGGAAACTATCTGCACATGCAAAAGACACATATATGTATATATACGTGCAGAAATATCACAGGATATCTGTTTTCCAATGTAAAAGGGTTAATTCGTTTGCGTGCCTTATCGCATGGTCATCTGCATGTTAGAATTTACGAAATTAGCAGATTCCACGGGAAAAGTTTACCGATAACAGCTTATCGGTAATTTTATCGTAAAACTATATAAACGAAGAGTAGAGTATATATATATATATATATATATATAT